TAGACATTTAACACTCCTACTTCTCAGCATTCTGGTCAGAAATCAGTCCTGTAATAAGTACAAAATCAAACACCCTCATCTCCCCACTAGTTTAATTAAAGGCAGCACCAAAACCATCTGGTAGGTGGCCACAGAGCTGCCACCCCAGGGAGAACTGGCATAAGGCTCTTGCTGAACTGGCTAAAAGCAAGCTTGGCCCTGTGGGGCTTCCCAGGGAGTAGGAGCCCTCAAAGGTCAGGAGATAATCAGTTGGCCAGATGTGAAACTAACTCACATCCCTGACCTACAAGCTGGCAACAAGGCTTGCTGCCTGATGCAGCTGCAATCTGCACGTCTCAGGAAGAGGCATCTTCCTCCCCCAGCTCCCCACCATAGCACCTACTCAATTGCCTGGCATTCCAGAAAGTCACCATGGGGTCTAGCAAAGCCTGCACACAGCCCCATGTGCCCATGAACTCTATTTCCCTGCAGAAGAGTGGAACTGATCAAGCCAGCCACAGACAGGGGTGTGTACTGTACACACAAGGCTGGCACCACAAAACATCACCACCAAGAGCTGACAGCCACAGCTCCAGCAGCTTTCCCGAGCTTATGCACAAGTGAATCCAGCAAGATGAGGAGCATGAAACTTTATCTGCCCCAAACAACACACAGACAGCAAGGCAGTCAGAGCAAGACAAGAGAGAGAAGGAGCTCAGCGAGCAATAAGCTGCAAACCCCTGTTTTCTATCAACTCTGCAGTGGGATCTCTCTAAGACTGAAGTGTACAGTGAAGCACAGGAAACTGAATTTCAATCTCCACTGTCTGCTGCTCTGTGCCCAGTGAAAGGGAGAGGGACTTGTAACCAAGCAGTACACATTTATTTCACACACAGCATCTCCTAACACCAGCTCAAACACATGCAGCAGAGGCTACTCAACAGGAGAGCTGTATTCATGTACACTTGCATTCCTACTATAATTTCAGCCATTCACTGAAGACTCAAGATAGCATTGTCCACATGCTTCTGAAGTAATGTTTTTTCTCAAAAGAAATTAGTATAAAGACATGCCTGTAACCAGCTACAGAGGACAAGCCTAGCAGGACTACCAGAGCTTCTATGTTTTAAGTACAGAAAACCGTACCAACAGATATGGGCAGTAGCAACTCTGGTAGCCTGGCACCTCAGCTCTGAGGACTTGGGGGCAAACTCAGATTGGAATTTGAGAACAACCTGTCCCAGAACTCCATTCACAACCTAATTACAAAGACTGCAAGGAAACTTTATGCTAGCACCACCAGGTAAGTTTTTCTATTTGAATCCTATCCATTGGTCACTTCCTCTGGCTCACCTACTTCATGCTGAGTGTCAAAGGACATGGCCAACAGCCTGGTACCATATGTTCCACAGCAGTGGAACTTCATATTCTGAAGTCAGTACAGGAGGTGCTGTGAGACACGAGGGATGCAAACTCTCAAAGCCAGGATATGCAACAGCTCTTGCAAGAGCTGCCATTGCAACCAGTGTGGGAATCACACTGGCTGGATGCTAATCCTGGCACACTGGCAGGACCCAAGCAGCAGGAAGTGCCCTGCCTCAAGTTAAGCAGTTTCCTCATCCTCACCAAATGTGTGTTAACACCCTACCACTCTCTCACAGAGTGGTTGGAAAACCTTGAGGCTTTGGATAGCATCCTACAAACAGATTAAGCTCTCTCCTTCCCATACTCACTGGAAGCAGGGAAAGCAAGAGGAGACACCCAGATTAGCATGAAAACTCTGACAGTCAGCATGGCACCTCACAAGCTTTCACAGAATGGAGGACACACATTGCAATAGGGTCTGGTAACCTTGTACAAAAATCAAGGCAGATAATCAGACTTCAAGGTCCCACAAGAGCACACCTTGCAGTAAGAGGTTTAATATGCATACCTACTTTTTCCAGGGGCAGCACCTCCCCAGGCTGTTAAGAGTAGGTTTACTCCTTATCACAGTCAAAACTGGTGGCTGCATATTCAGAGAACAGATATCAGCAGAGAAAAAAACCAAAAACACAGAAAAGGCAACATTAGGCAGAAAATCTGACATAGCAAGGAGCAAAGGAGTAAAGAAGTGAAGGAAAAAAAGAAACAATGAGATAGCAACAGAAGTGGAAAATGAGGTATCTCCTGTCTGAACTAACCATACTGATCTGTGTCACTCCCTCATACAGCACCAGCTGAAGGGGGAAGGTAGAGATAGATAGCTGAGCTCCCTCTCTCTGAAGTGAAGGCAGCCCCCCAGAGTGCACAGAGCACACTCAGGAAGGGTAGAACTAGGCAGGTGGCAGGAGGGCAGGCAGGGCTACATTGAGCTAGGCCAACTTCTAATACCTGCATCCAAAATCAGGTCAAGCCTTCTAAAGCTGCCTAGCAAACAAACAGAGCACCCCTGTCTGGAGGTGGGACAGGCTGTACCACAGCACTCATCTCTGGTTTTAATCACTATGCAAATGCCTCAATACAAGGCTTTACCTCTGTTCTCACAGCCCTGGCTGTAATCATGACACTGTAATGATTAGTGTGCTCTGCCCCATTCAGGCCTGTGCATTAATTAGACAGGTACATCAAGACAAGATGGACATAAAATCCACAAAGCAAGATGCAGAAAGGAAAGACTCACAAATTCCCACCAACAGCTTTATTTGAATTATTCAATAAGCCCAGGTATGAGCCCAGAGCTACTTCTCAATGAGACAAGGGGCCACTGGCTGGAACTTACCATGACACCAGCTTTGGGTCCTGTACCCTCCACACCAAGAAGGCAGTGCAGTCACACAACCTTCTAACAAGAGAGCAGGATGTTCTCTGACAGTATGAAGATGTCATACTCCAGTAGCACAGTATATGCACCTAGAACCCAACATGCCTGAGGCTTAATGGTGACCACATTCAAGGAGGTTCATAGCCTTCCAAGCACAAAGAAAGTGAAGTATGAAGCCTGGCTATCTCAACACAGGTGTAGATTGACCACTCAAAGTCAGTGCATTTGCTTCTACTGCTGTACAGACACGGCAAGCCTCCTAGGGTTAAGTAGAAGCAGCATGAGTTATAAAATCTGTGTGCACACAGAGCAAATCTTAAACTGCGAGAGCAAGCTAGCTGATCTGATCCTTGGGGTAAGAGCACACCTTGCAACAAAGCTGGAGGACTTGCTGCCAGTGACAGCCCACCACCCCAACCTACCCCAGTGCAAAGAATCAACTGTGTGACACACTAAATCAAGAAACATCAGACTCAGTTACCACCTCCACCATACTCAAGCCACTAAAGGCTCAGACTGAAGACAATAGCCTGATGGGGAATAGGCTGTGGCAGCTGCAACTTGTCATCTCTGAGCAACAGCAGCCCCACAACTCCTGCAGGGAAGAGTCCTGGCTCCTGGGGACCGTCTCCTCCCTATAAGAGCCCAAGCTGCCCCACCTGTTTGACTGGCAAGAACCAGACTTTCCAGCCCAAGTACTCCCACCATTTGACAGCCAGTAGGGCATACACTACCTCCAATACCCCAACACAAAAGCACAGAAACATAGAGCATCTCTTGGGCCATCACAGGCACTACTCCCAGTGTCCCTTGTAAGCATCTCAGGCTGAGTGTTCACCATGCTGTAACCCCCCAGCAGAAAAGAAGAAAGCATTCACCTGTACAATTCAAGGAAAGGACCCAGTCAAACACCTGCCCCTAATACCTCAGGATGTAAAGCTTTTCTCCACTGGGAAAGAAAGGAGACACTATGCAACTTCAACAAGTTCCCTTATTTTTTATCTCTAACATACAGTACAAGATGCCTCTCAGCCAGAGTGAGCTTTTATTCCCAAGTCTCAGTTTTAACAGTACTTTTATATTAACTGCTTCCCTGAAGGACCATATAACCCCCACCCCAATGGACTTTCAGGAAACAAAAATAAAAACACAACATCAGGCAGGACCACAGAGGCCCAGGCTGTGTGGGTGGCACAGCTTAATCCCTGCAGCAAGATGTAGCAAGTATATGCTGCAACAACTGGCATCTTGCTGTTTCTCATAGGAACAGGCTGGTAGCAGCAGCTCACACCCATGAGCTAGAGGGGCTTCCTAGGAAAGAGATAAGGCACAGCAGTCTCAACCAAGCCCCAAGGGCTCAGCCAGCTGTTTGACTCTAAACTACCCTCAAGAAGCTGCCCAGCAGGTCTGGTGGGAAGGTCAGCTCTATCCAGCTAGGAATCTGCCCTGGCTGCATTCTGGTAGAAGAGAAGGTGGTCAATTTGGGACAGCACAGCAGGATGGATGCACTGCTGCACAGGCAATCCTGGCCTCCAGGAGGGGAAGAAATGCTCTGAGGAAATGTACTAGCAGGTAAAGCACCCAGTGTTATCCCATGCTGCCCACTGAGCATAGGAAGGGGTATTCACCCCAGCTTTCCCTCCCTGCCTTTAGGATTTCAGAACCAACATGATCAGTCACAGGGAAAGCACCTGACAGTCCCTCTGCGGGCAGCAGCCCGGGCACTGAGGCATAGACTGCCACCCACAAAGCTTAGCCTCTTGTTGCAATGCCTATTTATGCTGCTTCATTTAGTCTGTTACAACGTAAAAATAAGTAGCTTTCCCAGCTTCCCCTTCATTACAACAGAGGAACTGGCCCACGTAAAGAGATCTACAGACCAAGCCCTGTACTGCCAGTGGTTATCGAGCCAGTGGTCCAGGAAGCACAGTCCCCTGTGAACGACCACACCAGTGCCAGGTCAGCCCGAGGCCAGGCAACTGCTGCCACCAGGGGGGTGACAGTGACCTCCTCCTCCTGCCACCGCGTTCCAGAGCGAGGGACAGCGGGAGGCCAAGCACCTACACGAGCGGGCACTCAAAGCTGACATTGTGTCGCAGCAGCGGGGGAGGCCTGGTACTGCCACCCTGCCCGAAGGAGGAGGGAAGAGCCATCTGAATGGTTACATTGATGCCGACGGCTGGGTAAAACACAGCTCCCCGGCCGCCGGGGGCTGCTCGCACCCCACTGCGGAGAAGCCCCAGGAGACCACAGCCCTCGGCTGCTCCGCGTACCCGCAGCTCTCAGCCCGGTGGCCACGGTAGGAACCGAGCAGCGCCCCGCTCAGCCTTGCTGCCACCTCTGCGAGTCCCTCTGGCAAAGGCCGGGGCCCCGCTGCCCCCGAGGGAGCGCCGGGTCCCCCCGCGCGGGCGGCTCCCGGGCCGGGTGTGGCGCGGCCGGGCCCGGAAGCGGGGCCTGCGCGGCCGGGCAGGGCCGCGGCGGGCCCGGGGAGGCGCCGCGCCGCCGCCGCGGCGTGTGCGGGCCGAGCCTCCCTTCAGCGAGCCCGCGGGTACTCCGCTGCCTGCGGAGCCGGGACAGTCCCGCCAAAACGCAGCAGGGCGATGCCGACCTCGCTCCCGAGGCCGCGCAGCCGCCGGTCCCCGAGCCGGGAAGCGGGCGTACCCCGCGCTCGGGCCACCGGCCAGCAGCGGGGCGCAGCCCCGCCACGGCCGGGACCCAGCGCGGCCTCGGCTGAGGCCGGTGTTTGTGCCACGACACCCAGCCCGGAGGGACAGCCCTTCCCCCCGGCCGACCGGGAAAGCATCCCAGCCTCGCACAGAGTGACCGGCCCTACCCCGAAGGAGAGCAGCCGACTGCGGAAGGGAATTGCACCCTTCCCTGGCACCAGGGGTGCACCGAGGCAGCGGCACCGGGCTGTGAGCCAAGGAGCACTACCGCTTCTCACAGGACCCTGTTGCTTTTGAGAAAAAAGAAACCCAAGCAAAAACCAACCAAACAAAAAAACACTTCAACAACTCAACTCGGACTTCACTTGTGTCCCTCTGTCTGACACGGGCAGGTTTGCACACCGGTGAACTTGCCCCACGGTACTGCGGGCTCCCCCCTTACCGGGGGGGTGACAGCCTCGACAGCCGCACCCAGCGCGATCACCCGCCAAGGGCACGTCACAGTGCCACAACACCCATCCCACCCATCAGGCCACGGCCTCCCCACCCCTGTGGCGAGGAGACACCACACGCCTCCTCCGATGACCGCGAGCATCCGAGGTGACGGGAACATGGACATACACACACAAGCCTCCTTCAGCAGGCTAGTTAACAGGTGCCAAGCCAGCACATGGCTTCCCCGGAGCAGGACTCACCATTCCTGGCAGCAAAGCTTAACCCCCAAAGCAGCCGAACCCTGCTAAGGCCTTCTCAGCACCCTCCGGCTCTGCAACCACCTTCCGAAGCCCCCTCAGCACACCCCAGCGAGCTGCCCCGACCTACCACTAACCTCGGATACCGCCACCCAAACTCTCCCCCTCGCAAACATCCCAAATAACCACTAGAACAGACCAGACATCCCCAACCCGCCCCCCACCAGGCAAGACCGGGCCCTGCACCCTCCACCCCACAGCCGCCTGCACTCACCGCCAGCCGCACCCCAATCTGCCGCCGCCACGGCCGCCCCCGCCATTAAAGCGGGAAGCCCCGCCCCCCGCCGCTGCCGATTGGCAGAGAGTTCAGAGTCCCGCCCCCGGGAGAGCCGCGGCCAATCGGCGCGCCCGCCGCGTCCCGCCCCCGGGAGAGCCGCGGCCAATCGGCGCGCCCGCCGCGTCCCGCCCGTCCCGTGGCTGCGCCCACCGCGGCGGGGCTGGAGGGGCCGAGCGCTGTGAGGGGGAGGTGGGAAATGGCCGGGAAGGGATGCGGGTTGTGGCAGGGTCAGCGAGCGGTGCGGGGGGCTGGCTCGAGGGTGGTGGTGACGGCATGAGGGACACCCGCACAGGTCGATAACCCTGCAGCTCATAGGCTTTTTTCCCTCTCGTGACACCGCAACAGGCGCCGCGAGCTTTCGGAGACACCGGACAGAGCCCAGAGACGCCGACTCAGACCGCGTGCAGTTTCCAGAGTGTTTCCATCCTGTGGCGCCTCCACAGTCACGCCAGCCTGCATCCTAAAAAGTGGCCGGGACTTGACTCGAGCTCGTCTGGTCTGAAGATGTTTTCAGAACTCACTATTCTAATTGTTAGGAATCATCTTCTCATTTCCAGCTTAATTTGATGCACTGCTGGTTAATAAACATTTGTTCCTCTGCCAGCATAGTAATTTATCTCACATGGTCCTGCCTTGGTGTTCATGCTACAGTGTGTTTGTAGACTGCAATCATCTTCCTCTCAGCCATTACAGGGAAGACTAAACAAGTTTTTCCAGCATTTTCTTACTAGTCTGCCTGTTCCTGTACCTAATGCCATGGTAGCTCTTTTTGCTGTGCTGCTGGTCAGATTTCCTCTCCTGAAGATGTGTGACCACGAGCAGTTACAGACTTGTGCTCACCTGGTGAGAATTTCCCACCTGGATACAGGCAGGGCTGCATTTGCAGAAACAGGGCAGGCCAGTATCTCTTCTGGTGACTTTCTTGCCCTTGTTTGGTGCTACAGCCTTCATTTATTTTCCCCTACATTGTTAATGCACTACAACATTCTGATTTCATCAGATTACACCAAATATTTATGCCAGTCCTTAAGGAAATTAATTTATAAAAATATCCACAAAGTACCTCAGTAGTAACCTGTGTCCTGATATGCTCCCTTCCCTCAGTCTTTGCTTTCATCTTGACCTGAACCACTCCTTCCCACGTGAAATTCCTGTGCTTGTTTCTGCCCCAACATCTACCATGGTTCCTAATTGGTCCCAAGGTTCAGAGCTGCTTCCCTGGAGTCCACACAGGGCCTATAGTTCTATAAAAAGGGTGTTTTTTTAACTATCAAGTTAGTCAACATAATAAATTTTATTTTATTCTCCATTTCGTGCCTGCATGCTATGTTACTCTTTAACTGTATGCTGTTAACATCAGACTAGCAGAACCGAAGCAGTCTGGATCACTTTTTCTCCCTTGTTAGATATAAGCATCAGCCTTGTTTGTCACTATTGTTTTTCTTTTTTGTTCTCCTTTTATTTTGCATTACTTTATTTTTACTTGATTTGTGTTCCAATTCAATGGAAACCTTGCTATGTAGTTTGTAATGAAATTAGAGATCAATGGATTCCTTCACACTCCCTCTTACTGGATTGTTTTCCACCTTGTATCCTGCATCTCATAGCTTTCTCTAAGCATTCCTCTCTCCTCTGGATCCACCCTTACTAGCAGGCTTGTCAGGCTCTAACAATGAGCCCCAAATTGCACAGCCCAGCCTCTTCCTGCTATTGGAATTAATTTTCAGGTCACTCTCTTTTCTTATGCTCTGAATGCAATTTATTTCTCCACTCTTGATCCTGGACTCTATTTCCCTGTTGTGTCTGCCACCTCCACTATTATTTCTGTGTTGTATTTGCTCATTAGTTTTTTTCGTTTCTACTGCATCTTCTGCTTCACTCCTTAATTCTCCAACACATTTAATAGATTTCACCATTTTACTTCTCCTCTATCAGTTTGTTCTTCTTTTCACACTCACTAGCTTTGATGGGTTCCCTTTGTCTGCATATTGGCCTTTGGTTACTTCTCGTGCTCAGCAGGTGTCTGGGTTCCTTGGTGTTCACCCCTCCCACACCATTTGCAGTGCTGCAGCAGCCTGGGCAGGAGCTCCAGCTGGAGCAAGGACCCTGCTCTGCAGGAGCACCCTGGCTGCAGGGACATGGATTTGCTGCTGTGCTGTCCAAGGGGGTGATGAAGGGTCCCCTCCTAACCCCTGGGGACAGACCTCCAGCAAGGACTTGACTAATCTGGTATGTGTTGTGCATCTGGGTTTCTGCCTTCCAGCCTCTTTGGAAGCAGGGTAGCACAAGAACACACAGAAAAGAAAATCCCTCAAAAATAAGGGAGGTGGGGGAGACAAGTGGTGTGACCTGTTGTGTACAGCCTGATATTCCCAAAGTGTCTTGGGACAGAATCTTTTATAGATTAGTAATCTTCTACTTCCATCTTGAATCCTGCCCATCTGCCCTGAAATTTGGGAGAAGAGCTGTTTGCAGCCAGCCAAGTGTGTCACCCTGACTACAGTCTGGACCACCAGACCAGAGATAATCCTGCCACATGCCTGCCCAAGGGAGTCCTGCCTACTCTAGCCACTCCTGCAGCTGGCACAACCCTACAAGTCATTAACTCTTCACCTGCAATTCAGGAAAAAACTTGTGCTTGCTCCCAGCAGCCTGAGCTGCACCAGGCTCCAGTCTGGAAAAGCTTAAGCTCCTTCCTCCATCTCTTATCCTGGAGAACAACATACCATTTTCACTTTAGCTTCAGTGAGGGTCTCGCTGGTCCTTCTTACCAAGGGGATCCAGTCAGATGGAGGTGGGTGGGAGCCTCTGCATTCCTCCTTTGCACTGTTCCCTCCACGGCTCCTTGTCTTCTGCTTGCTCCTTGCAGAGCCAAGTGCCCATCTCTTTCACCTCCTGGCTCTGCCCTGGTGCAAAAAGCAGGCGTGGGCGAATGTAACTTGCTGAAGGCATAAATACTGAAGCCATCCTCAGTGCGCACAATTACCAGACTATCAGATGGGAAGGTCTGTAAGAACTAAGCAATGGAAAAGGAATGAGGTTCATTGAGGGGTTATGACCTCAGGGATTAGTATGTAATGAGATATGCTGGTGCAGTGTTGCACCTTTTCTGGTGCCAGACTTGAAGACTGGCTCAGGCTCACCATGCAGCTGGGTGGGAAAAGGCAGGTTTCAGTCTCTTCAGGTGTAAAGTATCTCCGTTTTCTGACAATTTAGAAATTCTAAAAAATCTTGGTTCTCTGGGGAACTAAAATATCTTTTTGATCATGCCTGGTTTATATAGTAAATTTATATTCTCTTATCCAATGGATGTATAACTATGAATTTATGTTTTAAATACTGATAAATTGAATGGTGAGAGTTTTATTTGGCAAAAACTTGAAAAAAATTGGCTTGAAAAAAATCTAAAAGAAAATAAAAACTTCAAATTAATTCAGTGAAATTAAATACATGAACAATTGGCTCCATATCTTTTCAGTAATGTATTTGACACACATAGTTAGTAAATTTACACATCTTAATACACTTGAGGAGTGAGAAGATGATTTACAGATCCTCCCATCCTTTGCTATTTAATCCTGAAAAACCAAAAATTTTGCATGTGACCAGATAAAAACACTGAATGTAAATTGGCTCTCTAATGTTGTTTTACCCTTCTCCCTTTCCCTGAGGCTGGACTCTAAAGCACTATCAACCACAAATTATTGCTGCACACTTTCTCTGTGGCTCCATGGAAAAAAACAGTAAGTCAATTATGCTCACAATAGCAACACATCCAAGAAATGTTCCTACAACACCTCTGTCTATACTGAGAGAATCAAAAAAGGCTTTAATGGCCACTAGAAGTGGTGAGAGATGACACTACTCAGTACCTGAAGGCCTATTAAATGCCATCATGTCACTCTGCAATTTCAATAAATGGAGGTGGGCAGGTAGGCCATGCCTGGGCATGTGTTCAGGCTGACGTGTTGCCTCCTTCCACAGCTGATATCAAGATTAAGTAACTCACCTTGTGAAATATTTTGTGTTATTTGTGCTGATTACATTATAGTGGCAGTAAAGGCCAAATACTGCATCACTGTTGTCCCCTTCCCCTAAGCCAAAAGAAATGCTTTCATTCCTGGAATCTGAAGTCCCTATAACCCCCTCAAGCTACCAGCAAACAATCCACAATATTTCTGTAGCCAACGGGCATGAAGTGACCCTGTTGAAACCCCTGTTGTAACATGACACTGTAGATTTCCATTTAAATGTCACCTGCAACAAGGCATTTCCTGAGATGGAAGGGGCAGTGCAAGCATCACCTGGAAGCTTGCTGGCACCGTGGTGGATCTTTGACAGCAGACTTTCACCCCTGTGTGTTTAATTGCTGGACTTTGCCTGCCAGCTGGGGTGGGCAGCACACATGACCGTTGTTTGCTACTGGGACAAGAATTCTTTGTCAGCTGCATAGCAGCCTCTCCAGTGTGAGCTGACACCCACCTCCATGGGCTGGAAACATCACTGCAGCAACACAGGACACCCTGGGGTCCTCCACAGACATGCCAGAAGTCTCAGCCCACTCTAGACCTGTTAAAGCATTCTTATTTGTTCCTGTGTCCTAGAGAATAGTCTTAGGGAACAATAGTGCTTGTTTCAAATCCATCAAATCATGGGGCGGGGGGAGGGAAAGAAGCCGAGCCATAGTCACAGCAAGGTGTCTGAAGATATTAAAAGCCTGGAGAAGCCCATTCTTCAGTGTCTCTGCACAGCAGCAGGCATGGCAGGACCACCTCAAGGCCCAGAGTGGACTGGCAGGAGGCTGGAAAGGGTCAGGAGGTCAGAAGGTTTCAGGACATTAAGCTCAACAGGAGTCCTTGGTTACGGTACAAGTATTGGTGACTGACCACAGGTCACACCTTGGCAGAAGACCACAGGAGCTCTGGGAGCTCCATCTCTTGTAGGCACATAAAAACTGCCCCTTCTCAGGGACCTCTCAAGGCTGGGCACATGGGCATGACCTTTCATGGGCATATGCTCCTGAAGAGAGGATAAGCAGGTGGTGAGAAAGCCACAGTCCTGCTCATCCCCAGAGTCCCCTTTCCACACAAAGTAATTTCATTATACCTCTGTGATTTAAAGCCCACAGGAGCTGATCATCTCTGGCAACCTGTCCCAGACTGCCCGGAGCCTGAGGGAGCAGCTTGGCAAAGCTGGGTGACTTCTTCACTCAGGCAGTTGGGATTACAGTCAGATTTGGTGACTCGATGCCCAAATGTCATGCTCCACCACTGTGTCCCAGAGCTGTCCTCCTAAATTGTGGAACAGTGATGCCACGCAGCTCCATTGAGTGAGCAAAGGAAGAAGAAAAAACCCTCCCAAAGTGCTCCAGGCTGTGCTGGGGACTTTCCTGAGAAGATTTTGCCTTGACCTGAAGTGTCCACAGAGTCCTTGGCAGAGGCTGCCCAGAGCAGGGTTGCAGATGCTGCACCTCGGCCATGGGGCAGCAGGGTGTGAGCTGCCAGGCATCAGGCTGAGCACGCTGCTGGTCACTCCACAGGGACTAAGCCATAGAAAGGATATTGTCAGAGCACAGGATTGTTCTGGGAGAACAGGCTGCACAAAGAGGA